CATCTCAGCTGAAATCTCAAACGATGCAGTGTGATCTGGAGTATGTGGAGTAATCTACACACAATGTGGAGTAGCATCATCCTTCACTTGTTGTGATATCCCAACGATCTAATTAACACTCTCTACCTACCGAGAGTTAAAAGTGACGTATCTGCTCAGAATAAAATCAGAAGCCAATACCTGATAATCAGACACGTCTCTGAATCCCAAATGTGCTATTGGATCAAATCTCACATCTTCGATGTGATCAAATGCTGGACAACCAAACATCCGACATAACCCAAAATCTAAAGCAACTCCACAAGATCCAAAATCTCCACACGCAGTAGTCGACAACCTATGACTAAGATGACCTAAATATGTTGAAGCCCGAAAACTCCTCTGTAATCTAATGCTCGACAACCAATACTGATCCTCCTCCAGCAAGGAACGACCCAACAAAACTTTTATCTCATCTCGTCACCCCAATGTTTCCTCTCCAATAAAGTATCTCAAACTGTTGTGAGCTCGGCACAAACACTATAAAGAACTCCTACCAAAAATAGAACAACGAGTTACCTTTCTGCAAATACACTTTCTTCATCTATTGTTGACTTCTAAGACTTCACACTGGGGGACTTGGTTGTAACCCACCAATGCCTAGAACAGTCCCCAACTGCGAAAACTAAATACTGATTACCTCCTAATGATGCCTCCTTGGAAGGCCCCTAAATACCTGAATGAACACCACCTAAAAGACCCCTCGGTCTATGGATAGAAGTTTCAAACTCCACCTCGATCTTCTTGCTCATACTAATGTGCTCAAAGGAATTCAATCTGTAGGTCAAAGCACTCCCCAACAAACCATGCACGGCATAACCAATCAAATATTTCAGCCTCAACAAATACCACATCCTAGCCAAATCTAAAGAAGTAGTCAGCTCACTACCAATTACCATGCTCACAATCAAATAATACAAGTTCTTCTTCCTGACGCCCTTCATCACAATCATGTACCCAAATGTGATCTTCAAATATGCATCTTCTAAGGTCACCAGATAGTCGGCTGCCTCCAAAACTCTAAGTGAAATGATGTTCTTCTTCAACTATGGAACGAACCTCACTTCATCCAACTTCCGAATCACCCCGTCATACATCCTAATACGAACAGTACCGATACAACCAATAGGATATTCATGATCATTATCCATGAGTATGACATTCCCTCTTTCTAACTCCTGAAAGCTGGAGAACCAATTCCTCCTAGGACAAATATGGTAAGAAGCACCCGAATCCAACATCCACTCTGTAGAGTCGGCAACACAAACTGATGGTAGTGCAGGGCACGAATAACCTAAAGAATCCAAATCTAAATTGTCGTCACTAGCCTTGATAATATTTACCTCTGAAGCTTGAACAGCTTTCCCCTTATTCTTCCTGGCTCGATCTGTCAACTTTGGGCATTCAGTTTTCCAATGTTCATCCTCTTTACAAAAGTCACACTGATTCCTACGAACTCCAAGATATGCCCCTCTAGACTGTGATCTCCTACCGCGATTTGGACTCTTTGCTCTTGCGACCAATGTCCCCACTATCGTCTCAACTGAAGTCTCTTTATCCTTCTTTCTAAGCAATTCACAAGTGCAACGGTGACCTCACTATATGAAAGAGATGCCTTCTCATTAATAATAGTAAGAACGAAGGTCTCATAATCTTCGTCGGGCAATGAACTCAACAATAACAACGCATTGTCCTTATCTTCAATCATCACATCTACATTCGCCAAATTTGTAAGAAGGTTCGTGTAGTGGTTTATGTGATCACCAATGGAGGTTCCTTTCTTCAATTGGAAGCGATAAAGTCTCCTCTTCAAATGTAAACGATTTTCCACACTCTTCGTTAAATACTTGCTCTCTATGATCTCTCAAATCTTCTTAGCCGAAGTCTCATTGATCACATCATATTTCAAATCTTGAGTTAAACAAGATCTAATCACACCACATACCGTTATATTCATCTTCTTCCAAATCTTCTCCTCAATGTCGTTCGGTTTTCCGTCCAACTCTAATATATCTTCTAAATTTTGCGCGTTGAGCACATCCAAGACTTCATATCTCTAAAGACCAAAATTTTTTGTGTCATTAAACTTCTCCACATCTATCTTCATAGAGTGGATATTCAAACTTTAAACAGTCTTCACGCCGAAAGTATCCTCCACAACTTCTTCTTTTTCGACCATTTTTCTTAAAGCACCAACAAAACAATACGGAATAAATGAAGAATAGATCCAAACTGAAAAAGAGAGATTTTTACCTCTAACTAAAACCCTAACAAGGGCCTCCGAAAGATCTCACCCCACACAACGGAAACGAGATCCACAAATAGAAAAAATCCTACATTTATCACCAACTGAAATCCTAGACGAACTTCCAAAGCAATCTACTCCTCCAATTAGCCTAAGCATAGCCCAAGCTATGATACCACTTGTTGTGCGCACGGAAGCCACCAAACATATGTGCTTCGAGAAACCAAACCAAACAAACGTCGAGAGAAGGCAAAACAAATCAAAATAACGGTACAAACATAAATAACCAATTTTAACGTGGTTCGGTAAGTTGCCTACGTCCACGGGGTAAAAAAGGGATGAGGTTTTCACTAATAGAGAAGAAGAAAATAAACTGAGATTACAAATCACTCGAACTTATCAATTAATCTCACCAACAAATCTCTAATTCTCTCCAAACAAAACTCTAACCAATAGCTCAGAAAATACCTCTTTTCTGTACTTCAAATATCCCCAATTCACTGCTCACAAACCCTCAAAATCGTGTTCCTATTTATATCAAAACAGAAACCCAAACATAATCCAAATATGAACTCAAACTGTGCAGAAAACCCGGCATAAGTCGACTTATCAGGCTCTATAAGTCGACTTGGCAGAGAGAAAAACAACAACTGGAGAACAGATAATAAGTCGACTTAACAATGTCTATAAGTTGACTTGACAGAGCCAAAAACAACAATTCTAGAACAGAACGTAAGTCAACTCGTGCACAGACACAAGTCGACTTACCATAAGTTGACTTATGCATGCACATGAGTCGACTTATGACACAAAATCTGGTTTTTTCAGATTTCTCCACACACTATGCATCACTTATTTATTAAAATCACATAACTCCTATTCTCTCTCTCTCTCTCTCTCTCTCTCTCTCTCTCTCTCTCTCTCTCTCTCTCTCATAGTCATATCCTTCATCAACATTCTCCATTTTCAGATCTCATCTATTTGTTCAAATCAGGAATTTACAAAAGTATAGAGTAGTTACAATATATATTATGAAAATCAGGTGTAACAATGGTTAGTCATTTTGATAGTAATTTGAGCCAAATAACATATTGCACTCATTATAAACTGAAGAAATGATATATCGAAAGCTAATTGTGTAGAGTTTAAGCAATCCTATTTATATTAATTTTTTTGTTTTTTTAAGTTTTTTGTGAGATTTCACTTTAAACATTAATATTAGATTAAAACAATATTGCTGCATAATTGGCTCCTAAACACTTAAACTGGTGTATGACCTTATAGCATTCACTCCAATGTATCTAAGAAATACTGAAGCATAGAATGAGTTTCAGTGATCCTAATTATATTACACTAATTTTCCTTTTGACATATTTAACTTTTGATAATAATATTAGATTAACAACGTTGCCACATTATTGGCTCAATAACAAACTAATACCAGAAGATAGAATGAGGAAGTGAGATTCGAATTGCATCCGTCAAAGGTCAAACACTCATAACAATCACGATATATTTGATTTCTTTAAGTTGTCGAGATCAACATTGACAATAGTAATCATCTTTTGGAGCTCTCTTCCCCTTTCTCCTCATTAACTCCCTTCAACTCCTACACTTGGTCTTCATTATAATCATCATGATCAGATATGACAACATGAACACTAGGGTCCTCAACAACACACCTCCCCTTGAACATCACCGAGTTGTTCACCGCCTGATAGTTGCTATTCATGACAGCGCTCGTCGTCTTCTCATTGCTGTACATAACTCCACTCGTGTCCTTCATTTCACTGGCTTTCATCTTCATCGTCGCCCCTACATTCTCCCCTACGACCGTGATAATCTTCGCACTTCTGTCTGAGCCTGCACTGGGCTTTGTTAAAACAAGAGAGGTGAGGGTGGAGATCATGTCGTTGGTGGCTGTTCCTGAAATCATGATGGATTAGTTGCAAGCTCTTTAATTTTGTTGGGAGGCTCTTTTGTTGAGATTCCTACATATATGAAGGTTTTGTGAATTGTTGTTCTTAGCTTATGTGAGAACATATCACTTGCCTTCCAATTAAGAGGGGAACTGATACCGTCCACAGTTGAGGGAAAGGATTTCTTGAAGCAAAAGTATCTACGACAGTTTAGGATAGTAATGTGTCTCCTAATTTTATGACTCAAATGTACCTGCTGAAGTCTAAATCAAAACATACATAGCGGTATCTTTTTTTTTACTCGTTTGAAAAAAATCAAGGCTGCAAGCCTAGAAAGATTTGAATCCCAGCTTGCTCTGATGTTACATTAAAGGACTATAGCTTTTTATAATTTTTATGTTCTAACATTTAATAACAAACACATGTTAATTCAAACAAGTTAAATAAAACAATAACAAAGCAATACATTTTTTCACTATACAATTTAGACAATATTCTTTTTTCTCAAAAAAAAAAAATTAAACAATATTTTGGCACAAACCAGCCTTCTTCTGGAATTGAAAACTTCTAACCATCCAAACGAAGAGATCTTGAACCTTCCTCAGCACACTGAGGATCACCAAAACACAAATCCCTCCATATAACACTGTATTAATGACAACATTTCTCTCTGGAACACTAATCATCAGATAAACAACATCCCTTGCTATCAAAATCCAACTAAAACCCTCCAACAAAATCTTCAACTTAATAACCAAATTCATCTTCTCCTCCCCAAAAATCCTGCTCAGCATTCTGAAACACAAACAACCAATAACTGTCATCATTGTCTTAGACCACCCTTTATAAGCAACCAATCCGCCTCCTACAACCAAAACCTCACTCCTACACACACAAGTTTCACAATCCCCAGACAGCGAAGAATTAATCAAAGCATCCAGCCCGGTGTAATAAGGCATTATAATCGAATCTAAGTACAAGCTCGCATGTAGAATACCTGAAACTGTTGAAGCCTCAATAACTGCATACTTAAAACTCCTGTCAGCAGATTGGTACTCGAAGGCGAGAGCAGAGATATGTACAAGACTGAGGAGAGCAGGACCAATTGCGGAGAGAGGGAACAAAGTGTTGATTCTTGATCCCTTGGCAAGGATTAGTAGGATCACAGGAAGTGATATAGGGCCTGAGGGCAATAGATACCTTTTCTTCGAGTTTACTATGTTAATATCGTGTTTTCTGAATCTTAGAAAAGAGAAAAGTGTGATACAGAGATATGAGGCTATTGTGAAGATGAGAACTGATAAATCTACAAAGGGAGGATAATTTCCAGAGTAAGTAGAATCGCAGAAATAGTGATATCGGCAATTTGGGATGTCTTGGTTTTCTTCCATGAGCCATCTCGTGCACTTGAAGAAGGTCGTCTTGTGAGGAACTGCATCCATTAAAGCTGAATAATTTCTATGTTCTCTTTTGCTCTAATCATTGTGTGTTATTTGAGCTACTATTTGTTGGTTGAGATGGTATTGTAGCTTGAAGTCTTTAAAGGGGCTCTAGATGGGGAATGCTCAACTGAGTTCCCTGGTTTAGACATAACTGCCCTTCCTCTTTCAAGTGCAGGTTTGGTACCAGGATGGGGGTATATCGGTCTTTTCCATGTATTACAGGTGAGGGTTGAATTCTGGGGGAGCAAGTAATGAAGTGAAGAAGCAGGAAGAAGAGATTATGTTAAGTGTTAGTTATAGTTGGTGTTGCGTCTAGTTCTGCTACCAGTTTACAATTGTTGAGACATTGTTAAGGTTTCTGTTGTGCGCTGCGGAAGCCTTCTAATGCCAATAAATCGCACACACAAGAACCAAATAGATCACAATAACACAAGCAAACCACCAATCATAGCAAGAACACAAATTTACGTGGTTTGGCAAGTTGCCTACGTCCACGGGGCAAGGAAGGGGGGAGTTTATACTATTAGAAATCAAGAGAATACAAATAGGGTTACAAATCTTACCAAAACCCACAAAATAAGCTCTCTAGATCTCTCTCAAAGCCTCACACAATTGATGCAACAACCACCTCTTTTGGCAGCTCAAAACCCTTCTTACATAACCCTAAAAATCATGGTTAGGGTTATATACAAGCTCACAACGAAACGGGTCTGGAAAACTAAACCTGACCCAAACCCGCATCGCGGTCGATCGCAAAGCACATATTGCGGTCGACCGTAAAAACTCCAAAGAGTTTCCCAACTTCTGGGTTCGGCCGCGGTCAACCGCAGAACCATGTGCGGTCGACCGCCAAAAATCCAGAGCCATACTGCAGTACTGTGCACGTTGCGGTCGACCACAGCGCCATGTGCAGTCGACCGTGAAACTGCTTGTTTGTTCCCTCATGGATTTTGACATCATTTCTAAAATTCTCTACCTCGACGATTGTTTTACTAAAACTGAGCCGACACCAAATCATCCACATGTCTCACTTGTTACGTCCAGTACACCATAAAATCAATCCATGATAACGGACTTAATCCACAACAAGTCGGGAACCCAAAAGAGAGCGCAAATAATCTCCCCCATCAAAATCAAGAAGTCCAAACCGGCTGCATAGAAAAGACTACCTATGTATCCTCTTGACCAAGGAATCAAGCCAAATGTAGTTCACCCAAATGGCCGTCAAAGGCCTTAACATCGAAGAATGTTCAATAAATTCAAACAATGACCAAACTTAACACCTGGAACAACCTTGGTCAACATATCAGCAGGGTTGTCCTTAGTGTGGACCTTCTCCAACGTGGCGTCTCCATCATCTAATATGTCAAGTATAAAATAAAATCTGACATCAATGTGTTTTGTACGTGCATAATAAACTTGGTTCTTCACCAAATAGATAGCCGACATGCTATCACAATATACTTGAATGGTCTCCTGCAAAATCCCCAAGTCCTCTAACAATCCATGCAGCCACAAAGCCTCCTTCGCAGCTTCAGTCACTGTTATATACTCCGCCTCTGTAGTAGAGAGAGCCACCGTAGACTAAAAACCTGCCAATGTAAAAACATAACCTGTAGTAGATCGACGCTTGTCAAGATCTCCAGCATAGTCTGAGTCCATGTAGCCAATACTATCATGCCCTGTCTCCTCGTTCTTCTTGAATACCAAACAAACATCCACGGTACCCTTAATGTACTGTAGAATCCACTTCACGGCCTCCCAATGACTCTTTCCGGGGTCGTGCATGTACCTAGATACCATGCTCACGACCTGTGATAAATCTGGCCTCATACACACCATAGCATACATCAAGCTACCCACTGCACTCGCGTGTTGGACATATAGTCCCGATCCTCAACTGAAACTGATGACATCAAGACTGAAAGCTTTAAGTGGGGAGCTATTGGAGTATTCATCATCTTGGCATTGCCCTCAAAACTGAATTTCTTCAGCATCTTCTGCTAGTAACTCCTCTGTGAAAGCTTCAATTCCCTTCATCCGGTCTCGTTCAATCTTTATACCAAATATCTTCTTAGCCTTTCCAAGATCCTTCATCTCAAATTCAGATGACAACTCCTTTTTTAATTTCCCTATAGCTGAAGTGTTCCTGGAAGCAATGAGCATATCGTCAACATATAATAATAAATAAATATGGTCATCATTTGGTACTCGAAGGCGAGAGCAGAGATATGTACAAGACTGAGGAGAGCAGGACCAATTGCGGAGAGAGGGAACAAAGTGTTGATTCTTGATCCCTTGGCAAGGATTAGTAGGATCACAGGAAGTGATATAGGGCCTGAGGGCAATAGATACCTTTTCTTCGAGTTTACTATGTTAATATCGTGTTTTCTGAATCTTAGAAAAGAGAAAAGTGTGATACAGAGATATGAGGCTATTGTGAAGATGAGAACTGATAAATCTACAAAGGGAGGATAATTTCCAGAGTAAGTAGAATCGCAGAAATAGTGATATCGGCAATTTGGGATGTCTTGGTTTTCTTCCATGAGCCATCTCGTGCACTTGAAGAAGGTCGTCTTGTGAGGAACTGCATCCATTAAAGCTGAATAATTTCTATGTTCTCTTTTGCTCTAATCATTGTGTGTTATTTGAGCTACTATTTGTTGGTTGAGATGGTATTGTAGCTTGAAGTCTTTAAAGGGGCTCTAGATGGGGAATGCTCAACTGAGTTCCCTGGTTTAGACATAACTGCCCTTCCTCTTTCAAGTGCAGGTTTGGTACCAGGATGGGGGTATATCGGTCTTTTCCATGTATTACAGGTGAGGGTTGAATTCTGGGGGAGCAAGTAATGAAGTGAAGAAGCAGGAAGAAGAGATTATGTTAAGTGTTAGTTATAGTTGGTGTTGCGTCTAGTTCTGCTACCAGTTTACAATTGTTGAGACATTGTTAAGGTTTCTGTTGTGCGCTGCGGAAGCCTTCTAATGCCAATAAATCGCACACACAAGAACCAAATAGATCACAATAACACAAGCAAACCACCAATCATAGCAAGAACACAAATTTACGTGGTTTGGCAAGTTGCCTACGTCCACGGGGCAAGGAAGGGGGGAGTTTATACTATTAGAAATCAAGAGAATACAAATAGGGTTACAAATCTTACCAAAACCCACAAAATAAGCTCTCTAGATCTCTCTCAAAGCCTCACACAATTGATGCAACAACCACCTCTTTTGGCAGCTCAAAACCCTTCTTACATAACCCTAAAAATCATGGTTAGGGTTATATACAAGCTCACAACGAAACGGGTCTGGAAAACTAAACCTGACCCAAACCCGCATCGCGGTCGATCGCAAAGCACATATTGCGGTCGACCGTAAAAACTCCAAAGAGTTTCCCAACTTCTGGGTTCGGCCGCGGTCAACCGCAGAACCATGTGCGGTCGACCGCCAAAAATCCAGAGCCATACTGCAGTACTGTGCACGTTGCGGTCGACCACAGCGCCATGTGCAGTCGACCGTGAAACTGCTTGTTTGTTCCCTCATGGATTTTGACATCATTTCTAAAATTCTCTACCTCGACGATTGTTTTACTAAAACTGAGCCGACACCAAATCATCCACATGTCTCACTTGTTACGTCCAGTACACCATAAAATCAATCCATGATAACGGACTTAATCCACAACAAGTCGGGAACCCAAAAGAGAGCGCAAATAATCTCCCCCATCAAAATCAAGAAGTCCAAACCGGCTGCATAGAAAAGACTACCTATGTATCCTCTTGACCAAGGAATCAAGCCAAATGTAGTTCACCCAAATGGCCGTCAAAGGCCTTAACATCGAAGAATGTTCAATAAATTCAAACAATGACCAAACTTAACACCTGGAACAACCTTGGTCAACATATCAGCAGGGTTGTCCTTAGTGTGGACCTTCTCCAACGTGGCGTCTCCATCATCTAATATGTCAAGTATAAAATAAAATCTGACATCAATGTGTTTTGTACGTGCATAATAAACTTGGTTCTTCACCAAATAGATAGCCGACATGCTATCACAATATACTTGAATGGTCTCCTGCAAAATCCCCAAGTCCTCTAACAATCCATGCAGCCACAAAGCCTCCTTCGCAGCTTCAGTCACTGTTATATACTCCGCCTCTGTAGTAGTAAAATGTGCATCTCCAACACACCGGTGTACCTGCCAATGTAAAAACATAACCTGTAGTAGATCGACGCTTGTCAAGATCTCCAGCATAGTCTGAGTCCATGTAGCCAATACTATCATGCCCTGTCTCCTCGTTCTTCTTGAATACCAAACAAACATCCACGGTACCCTTAATGTACTGTAGAATCCACTTCACGGCCTCCCAATGACTCTTTCCGGGGTCGTGCATGTACCTAGATACCATGCTCACGACCTGTGATAAATCTGGCCTCATACACACCATAGCATACATCAAGCTACCCACTGCACTCGCGTGTTGGACATATAGTCCCGATCCTCAACTGAAACTGATGACATCAAGACTGAAAGCTTTAAGTGGGGAGCTATTGGAGTATTCATCATCTTGGCATTGCCCTCAAAACTGAATTTCTTCAGCATCTTCTGCTAGTAACTCCTCTGTGAAAGCTTCAATTCCCTTCATCCGGTCTCGTTCAATCTTTATACCAAATATCTTCTTAGCCTTTCCAAGATCCTTCATCTCAAATTCAGATGACAACTCCTTTTTTAATTTCCCTATAGCTGAAGTGTTCCTGGAAGCAATGAGCATATCGTCAACATATAATAATAAATAAATATGGTCATCATCCTGTAGCTTGCGCATATAAACACATGGGTCATAAGGGCTCCTCGTGTACTCTTGGCCAATCATAAAGCTATCAAATCTCTTGTACCACTGTCGTGGTGATTGCTTCAGTCCATAAAAAAATTCTTCAATTTACACACCAAATTTTTGCTTCCTGCAGCTTGGAACCCCATGGGTTGTGTCATGTAGATCTCATCATCTAAATCTCCATGTAGAAAGGTCGTCTTCACGTCCATTTGGATCAAATCCAAGTTCAGCTGTGCCACCAATGCCAATAAAATCTGAATCGACGAATGCTTCACAACGGGTGAAAACACCTCGTTGTAATCAACGCCCTCAAGCTGTGCATATCCCTTGGCAACCAATCTGGCTTTAAACTGAATGTCCCCTATAGAAGATCTCTCCTTCTTCGCATATACCCACTTGCAACCAATAGCTTTCTTACCCTTAGGAAGCTTTGCAAGTTCCCAAGTGTCGTTCTTCTGAAGAGACTGCATCTCCTCCTCCATAGCATTCCTCTACCTAATCAAATCAGGGCTAGACTCTACCTCCCTAAATGTGGAAGGAACCAAATCGTCAATGACCTCCACTGATAAAGCATATGCAACCATGACATCATCATATCTAGCTGGCCGATGAATCACCCTCCTAGGTCTGTTTGCTGCAATAGACTCCTAAACATGACCATGTTCCTGAGTCTCACCATCCACTGTATCCTCTAAATGCCCGAATGTCATCTTATCTCCTCCTAGAGTCACCTCTGTAGGAGCCTCAATGGATACAATGCTATCTAGAGTGGGTGGAGATATCATCTTTCACCTACTGTGATATCTCTCTTGTTTGATCTTCCTCCACCTGCTGATGAACTCGAGGCTTCATCATGTACGCTTCATCGAATGTGACATCTCTGCTAATGACCATTTTCTTGTCTTATGGATCCCATAATTTGAAGCCTTTAACGTCTTCTCTAAATCCCACAAAGACTGCTTTCCTCGCTCTCGGATTCAATTTACCTTTACTAACATGATAGTAAGCTGGACACCCAAATATCCGAAGCGTCTCATAGTCATTAGCCACCGAACCAGACTAACGCTCCATTGAAGTCTTCCCATGTATCATAGTGCGCGACAACCTACTAACAAGATAGCTCGCATAAACCAATGCATCGGCCCAAAAGGATCTAGGTAATCCACACTGTGTCATCATACATCGCACATTCTCCATCAAGGTACGGTTCAATCTCTCAGCCACCCCATTCTGTTGCGGTGTCTCTCGAACTATGAAGTGTCTTATAATACCGTGATGCCGGCAAAACTACAGAAATAGATCACTTTTATACTCTCCACCATTATCTGAACGAAAAGTCTTCACCTTTTTATCTGTCTACAGCTCCACTTTCTTCTTTCACTCCACAAAAATATCCAAAACCTCATGTTTATGCTTCATTGTATATACCCAATTCCTTCTCGAATAATCATCAATGAAAGTGATAAAATAATTGGACCCACCAAGTGATGTGTGTTTGGAAGGGTCCCAAATATCTGTGTGAATATAATCCAATATATCTTGAGTGTTATGAATAGCGGTGCCGAACTTCACTTTAGTCTTCTTCCCAAGTATGCAATGCTCACACATCTCTATCTTGCAGGTCTTCGCACCTTTCAGTAGCCCCTGTTTTTCCAATGACTGTAGGGACTTATCACCTGTGTGTCCAAGTCTCATATATCATAGGGTGGTAGTGTCCTCCTCTGTAGTGATAGAAGCTGCCAGACCCCCTGTAACTGTCTTGCCCTTCAAGTAGTATAGGTTGTTTTCTCTGACACCTTGTATCACCATCATAGAACCCTTCTTGACCTTTAATGTAGCATCATCTAAGATCACTCTATAACATGCTGCCTCCAAAGTCCCAAGAGAAATGATGTTCTTCGTCAACTGCGGCACGAACCTCACTTCTTTCAACTCCAGAGTCACCACGTCATGCATCCTGATCCGGACTGAGCTAATCCCACTAATAGGGAAAATGTGATCATTCCCCATGAGCACAACATCCCATCTTTCCAGCTTCTCAAAGCTGAAGAACCAATCCCTCCTAGGGTAAATATTAAATGTAGTTCCCGTATCCAACATCCACTCCGTAGAGTCGGCATAACAAACTGACGGCAGTGCGGGACATGAATAGCCAGAAGAATCTGAATCTGAATGGTCGCTAACTGCTTTAGCAACATTCACCTTTGAAGCTTGTACAGCTTTCCCCCTTTGCTTTCCGGCTCTATCCTTCAACTTTGGGCACTCATTCTTCTAATTTCCCTCTTCTTTGTAAAAGTCACATTGATTTCTACCAACACTCATATGGCCACCCCTATTCTTAGATTTTGTGCGATTGAACTTTTGGCGGTTTGGACTACGGCATTGAACTATTAATGCATCTCCTGATACCTTCTCAGAGGGTTCGCCATCACTCTTCCTCAACTCATAATTCACCAACGTTGAGGTCACCTCCTTGTAACTAACAGTAGTTCTTCCATTTATCATAGTGAGAATGAACGTACCAAAATCATCCTACGGTAACGAACACAATAGTAGCATCGCCTTGCCTTCATCCTCAACCATGATATTCACATTGGTCATATCCGAAATTAGCTTCGTGAAGTTGTTAACATGCTCCCGAATGGAAACCCCCTCTTCATCTTGAATTGGTAAAACATCTTCTTCAAGTGAAGCCGATTCTCAATGTTCTTCGTAAGATACTTCTCATTGAGTGTTTCCTACATTTTCTTCGCCGACGTCTCATTCATCACATCATAAATAAGATCTGATGTCAAGCATGACCGAATAACTCCACAAGCCCTACTATTCATTTTCTTCCAAACATTTTCCTCCATATCCTCGGGTTTCTCTTGTAATTCAAGTGTCTCCTCCAAATTTTGGGCGTCCAACTTATCCATCACCTGACACCTTCACAAATCGAAATTGATCTTGCCGTCGAACTTCGGAACATCAATCTTTGTATTATTGATGCTCAGACTCTATATCGCCTTTGTCAAAGCTGACCCCGATGTGCTTGTTTCACCCATATTGTAGATCTACCTTTCCAAATAAGAATCCGACAGCGAATCCTTCGAACAAACCCCAAATCAAAACCCGAAGCTCTGATACCACTTGTTGTGCGCTGCGGAAGCCTTCTAATGCCAATAAATCGCACACACAAGAACTAAATAGATCACAATAACACAAGCAAACCATCAATCACAACAAGAACACAAATTTACGTTGTTCGGCAAGTTGCTTACGTCCACGGGGCAAGGAATGAGGAGTTTATACTATTAGAAATCAAGAGAATACAAATAGGGTTACAAATCTTACCAAAACTCACAAAATAAGCTCTCTAGATCTCTCTCAAAGCCTCCCACAATGAATGCAACAACCACCTCTTTTGGCAGCTCAAAACCCTCCTTACATAACCCTAAAAATCGTGGTTAGGGTTATATACAAGCTCACAATGAAACAGGTCTGGAAAACTAAACCTGACCCAAACCCGCATCGCAGTCGACCGCAGAGCACATATCGCGGTCGACCGCAAAAACTCTAGAGAGTTTCCCAACTTCTGGGTTCGATCGCGGTCGACCGCCAAAAAACCAGACCCATACTACAATGCTGTGCACGTTGCGGTCGACCGCAGCGTCATATGCGGTCGACCGTGAAACTGTCTGCTTGTTCCCTCATGGATTTTGACGCCATTTTTACAGTTTCAAGAGTCATCAACCGGTATAGTATTTGTCTGTGATAAATAGCATAAGCCAATAGAGAGGAGGCTAGATTCTTTTTTTTTCAACAAAAATTTTAAAAATGAGTTTAGGACAAAATTTCTTAAAGATTTTTTCTTCTTAAAAATTAAGAAGATTAATAAAGGTAGTAAAAAATATATATATTAAGGAAAAGAGGGGGGAAAGTTACTTAACAATAAGATAGGTGTCGAGCTCCAGTTGGTGCAATGGAGCTCTTCAGTTGTAGTTGTGCTGAACCAATCCAAACCGAAGTTAAGCATAAAAAATAGAAAAGAAGGAGGGGTAGCTCTTGGAGGGGTTGGTCTTCACTTGCAAAAATATTACAATATTAATCACATTTCCCCCAACCAGCCTCTTGGACATATGTAATGTGATGAACAAAGGCAAACTTTTTAGGGGGTTTTTTCACATCGGCTATTAATTCTATTATATTTTTACATTCGATCGCCAAATTTTCGAATTTTTAATTTTACACCCTCAAATCCTTCTAGTTTTTCCCCCTCAATTGCATCCTCTGCTTTACTGCTCCTCTAAAATCTGCTACTATGGTGTGATTTCATGTTAATTGTGTAACTAAATTATTTTAATACCCCTACTCTAAAATCCCACTCTCTCTCTCCCGTTCTCTCTTCTCTTTATCCTTTATCTAGTCGCTCCCCCTCCAAAATCAAACATTGTTTGCAACAAGCTGGAATATCAAATAACAGTACCATAATTGAGGGTCAAATAAATAGACAAATATCTACAAAACATTACTCGTGCAACCAGTGAATCAACAAGAAATAGTGAAATAATCAACAAGAGTCGCATACTGATGATCTTAATCAGTGTGTTTAATTACAAGGAGCAAAAATAAGGTTCAATAGGGAAACAGAGAACTATGCAATTGCAACCTGTACACTTCTCATATCTCTTCATTGATCAGAGCATGCAGTATTTCTGCCACTAAACCTAGGTTATCTCTACTCATGCTCCCAAAACTGTATTATAAAAAAGTGATATTACCAGATTCTGTACACTGCCACACAAGGTCAATAGGATTGGTTATGAGCAACGGCGCATTCTCACAACAGGAGAAAACACTACGGTGAGCGGTGCATGATCTGAAAGAGAGTAATCCTCTGGCCATGTTCCTTTCTCTACCTCTGGAGGGAAGAGAACTGCATTCTTCACTTTAAAACCAAAAGCTTGCTCCTCCTCAATGCCCTTTTTCTTGTCCTCTGGCTCATTAATGCCAACTTCAGGATTTTCCTTCGGCTTCTCCAACAGTGTAGGGTTCCAAATTCGATGCTGCAATAATCATCAGTAACATTGTTAACTATTAAAAGGTAATGTAACAGCATGCATGTTTTCGTGAAAACTTATTAGTTGTTGAAATGTTTTAGTTAAACTCCATGAATTTAAGAGAACTAAAGTATTCAACAAGAAAACTGATCGATACATGGATTAAATTTTTGTACAAGTTCCTACCTGGAATTCTTGGTAGTTGATGACACCATTGCCTTCCATGTCAACCTGGGCCCATAACTCCTCTAACTCTTTTGGACTAAGACACTGAGAATGGCCTGTTATTCCCAACTGTAGAAATTAAGCATTGTCAGCAACCCTGATGTTTCCTTGTGTGTGTGTGTGCGCGCGCGTGCGCACATG